CCAGGTGCCCCTAAAATTCCTTTAAAAAAAAAAAAAAAGATTTTATTTGTTTGTTTATTTACTTACTTAGAGTATAAGGTGGGGAAGAGGCAGAGGGAGAGAGAGGCTCTCAAGCAGACTCTACGATGAACACAGAGCCCGACACGGCTCGATCTCACCACCCTGAGATCATTACCCGAGCTGAAACCAAGAGTTGGATGCTTAACCAGCTGAGCCACCCAGGTGCTCCTAAAGTTTGTTTGTTTGTTTGTTTGTTTTTTCTAAGCAGTCTGTACACCCAGTATGGGGCTCAAACTCATAGCTCTGAGATCAAGAATCGCATATTCTACTGACCGAGCCAGAGACTAAAATGAATTCACATACCTCATTGATGCTTTGCAGTCAACTAACAGAAACTCGTCCTGGCCTGCTCTGGAATGGGGACTTCCAAGGGAACAGACATCTCCTACAAGTGTTCTAGATTAGCATCCTGTTGGTGACTACTTACCTTCCCCAATAGTTCAGCATCAAAGAAACCAACACATTTTTATCACAAGATGTCTGCTGCTCATTTAAAAATTAATTTCAGGGGCTCCTGGGTGGCTCAGTTGGTTGGGCGACTGCCTTCGGCTCAGGTCATGGTCCCGGAGTCCTGGGATCGAGTCCCACGTCAGGCTCCCGGCTCCATGGGGAGTCTGCTTCTCCCTCTGACCTCCCCTCTCATGCTCTCTCACTCTCTCTCTCTCTCAAATTAAAAAAAAAAAATTAATTTCAGACAATAAAAGTCTGTATGAAAATAGGAAATGTTGGTAGGGGCTTGGGAATGGGTGAGTTCTTTCCAAAGATCACCCTGCAAAGATGTTCAGAGACCTTAGACATCATGCTAGGGACTTTGGCTTTTTTCCTGAGGACACTGTGAGCCACAGCACGTTCTGAGCAGGGGAAGGTCTTGGTCAGATCTGTACTTTAGAAGGACTCTTCTGGCTACCTTGTGGGGGCCATGCTGGAGGGGACAAGGGTGGGAAAGGAGAGGCCTGGATCAGGGCAAGGGCTGCAGGGAGGGAAAGGAGCTCCTAGAAGGCCCCAGGAGAGACACTGCCTTTGGGTCAGCACCCGGTGTCAATCCTGCCCCGATTTTGGCATTGGCTGGGCAGTGCCTGCACCCCGTTTCCTGCACCGTAACCTCAACTGCAGTTAACTTCCAGTTAACATAATGGGCCCACATGCCGGGAGTTCTCACTTAGCTCACTTATCAAGATGTCGATGTGATAGAATCGAGTGGCGACTCTGAACTTGTCTGCATGTTTGGATCTTCTATAATACCATGTTTCGATAAGGAAAGATGATGAAAATCACAAATATGGTTGCCAAATCCCCCTGAAACTGCTGGATGATCTGAAAGGAGAAGTCAATGAAAGCTACCAGGATCTGGAGGAAGGAGGAAGGGTGAAGAAAACAAGAAGAGGGACATCTAGAGGCCTGGAGGGTCAGTGCAGGTGGCGCCTCAGATTGGGCGGGTTCCAGAAGATATAAAGGGGAAATGGAGAGCAGGAAATGCATAAGATGTACAAAGTGAGGGGCTCATTAGGTTCACCCTTACTTCTGACACCAACTGCAAGCTCGGGGGGGACCCCATGACAACCCCCAGTTTCGATAACTTGCTAGAAGTCCTCACACAACTCACTGAAAACTGTTATACCCCTCCTTACAGTTAATTACTGTGAAAGGATACAGATTACCATCAGCCAAGGGAAGAGACACGGAGAGCACAGCCCAGGAGAATTCCAAGTGCGAGCTGCCAGCCGTCCTCTCCCCGTGGAGTCATGGACAGCACTAACTTCTCCCAGCAACAATGAGTAATAAACATACGGAGTATTGCCAACCAGGGAAGTTCCCCTGAGCCTTGGCATCAGAGGTTGTAGTGGGGATGGGACATATAGACGAGATTTACCACCTGTGTGGCTGACCTTAGTTTCTAGCCCTTCCAAAGGCTGAGCTGATACCACCTGGCCCAAAGCCCCCACCATAAATTACATTGCCGGTATAGATTATCTGGTGAACAAAGATGTCTTATCTGGCAGGACATTCCAAGGGTAAAGACCAGATCTCTGTTTTGGTAAGGTTAATCCTTAGATGCATGTACAAGAAAAATCCCCAGGACTAAAGAGAGAAACAGGGTTCAGATAGAAGGGTTTACAATAAGGGAAACTCACTCGTAGGCCCATTCTGGTGCAATGTCGGTGCCACAGGGATGACAAGAAAGCCTGTCTGCCCATTACAGGTAATGAAGTTCTCCAAACTGTTGAGGAATATGGCTTTGTCTTTTGGTGGTTTTTTTGTTTTGTTTTGTTTTGTTTTTCTTAAGATTTTATGTATTTATTGGATAGAGAGAGCACAAGCAGGGGGAGCAGCAAAGAGAGAGGCAGAGGCAGGCTGTCCATTGAGCAGGAAGCCTGAGGCTGGAATCAGGACCTGAGCCTAAGGCACGTGCGTAACCCGCTGAGCCCCCCAGCCCCCCCAGGCGTATGATTTTTGAACCAGTAATTCTGACCTAAAAACTATCATCTAGTCCAGTGCGAACGTGGAAAAAATTACTTCAAATATGCAAAGATTCAAGGGTACCAAGCACCCTTTCTGAGAAGGGTACTTAGGGAGAGACTTCAGCCAACCTAGGATGGAATTCCACGAAGAATCAGTTCCTCTGAGAGGAGGAACAGTGTGAAGGAGAGCAATGTGAAGACAGGATGAGAGGATGGCCCCTCCGCAGCCCAGAAAATAGCTCACAGGTCTACAGCTGACTATTTGGTAAAGAGAATGGGGGGGTGGAGAGAGAGAGAGAATAGAAGCAAAGAGCTGGATGGTCTTGGTCACATGGTCAGCTAGGCATTGGTGGGTCACATCGGGCATTTGTGGTGAGAAACCAGTCTAGGGAAAACTAAAAGCTTCATACGGTAAAATAAAACTCTAAATATGAGAAGACTGGGCACCTGCTTGGCTCAGTCAGAAGAGCATGCATCTCTTAATCTCAGGGTCGTGAGTTCAAGCCCCATATTGGGCATGAAGTCTACATAAACAAACGAACAAACAAATAAAAATAAGTATGAGGGACACCTGGGTGGCTCAGTCGGTGAAGCCACTGCCTTCAGCTCAGGTCATAATCCCAGGGTCCTGGGATCAAGTCCCACATCGGACTTGCTCAGCAAGGAGCCTGCTTCTCTCTCCGCCTCTGCCTGCCACTCTGCCTGCTTGTGCATGCACTCTCTCTCTCTGACAAATAAATAAATAAATAAATAAATAAAATCTTTTAAAAATAAAAAGGAAAAATATATAAAAAATAACTATGAAAAGACTAAAAATGTGACATGACATGTAGCAATGTTTAGAGCCACCAATTAATGTTACTGCTTCAGAATGCAGAAACGAAATTACATCTACGTTATGGGTTCCCAGTGATTAGTATTTACATAACCTTAATTATATACATGCTCTATATTTTCATTTTCAGACTCAGTCTGTGTACCAAGCACTGAAGACTTATTTTAACCTTAGAAAGACACTATGGCGGGGCACCTGGGTGGCTCAGTCGGTTAAGCAGCTTGCTTTTGACCCAGGTGGTGGTGATCTCGGGGTCCTGGGATCGAGCGCCACGATGGGCTCCCAGCTCGATGGGCAGTCTGCTTCTCTTTGTCCCTCTGTGCTTGCTCTCTCTCTCTCAAATAAAGACAGACAGACAGACACGGTGGCAATGTAACAGTAATAGTATGGGGCACTGACCATAGAAGGGGGGAGATTGGGGGGCAGGGTAGGGCAGTTAATATACTGATGGGTACACTTGGCAGGAAGTTCAGGCAATAGGCATATTATCTACAATGACAAAGATTACCAATAAACAGTAAAAAAGTAACTTAAATTTAACTCACTTGTGAAAGTTGAGAGTGGGGGAAGGAGAGGATACAGAATTGGTGATAAAGTCACATAAGGGCTGGGTCGGAGCCCTTATTTTTAATTTTTAAATTAGAATATTTTTTAAATATTAAATAAAATAAAATATAAAAATTAAATAAAAACAATATTTTTAAAAAAATTCAACTTAGTAAATCAAGAAATGGAGGTATAAGCTTGTTATTTGGCATCGTGACGATAAGCGGGAAGTAATCAATGCAGAAAGGACCAAAAGTGGTGGGAGTGGGAGCAGGGCTGAAGCTGGAGGTGGAAAGGCAGGCTTGGGTTTTACAGTCTAGCCCCTTGCGTGTGGTCTAAATCATTCCCCCCACGTGCATGTGTTACTCTTCTACCTAAAAGGAAGGAAAGGCAATCATGTCAGGCTGGTTGCGGTGACAGGGGAGAAGTAGAAGATGTTTTCCATAAGTTCCTTCCTTAATGAGCCTGGGGACCCGTATTTTCTCGGTCAGCAACTACTTGTCTCTGGATGGATATTAATGATTCCTGGAGTGACTCGGGTTTCAACATCTATGTTGCGCTTGTGTTGTGTTTATGGACGATGACAATGCTCCCAGCCCTTATTCACCTGAATAAGTGATTAGGTAAAGAAGTTAGCACAGCCTGGCTTAAGCCCCAAACCCCGCAGCCTACGCGCGTCTGGGGACCACGAGTGTCAGCGCCACCTTCAGGGGAGGAGGGGAGGAGCCTGGAGGGCCCTCGAGCGCGCTGGGGTAGGAGCTGAAGCAGTAAGTTTTACACCTACCGGTGATCTGTGACACCCCCCCCCACCACCCCCGAGGTTCGGCCCCCATTCAGGACCTCCCCTACAGAGCAGCATTTCTCGTGCCTGGCTGCTCGCCAGAATCTTCTGGACGCTTTCAAAAGATGGCCCCGGGGCCACCCCAGGCCAGATGACGCCCTCCGCCCGAGCGCCTTTCCTCTTGAAAGACGCCCACTCCCTAACGCCGGCGATTCTGGCTGCCCTGTGCCCATTGCTCCGGCCGGGACACCGAGGCGTCGAGGGGCGGGGATTTCCGCGGCTCCCGCGCCAAAGATCCCTTACCCCTCTTCCCCCGCAGTGTACCACTGGGCGGAGATGCGCACCAAGATGCGCCTCATGGGCTTCAGTATGCAAGCGGTCAAGCCGCTGAACGAGAACGCGGCCGCGGAGCTGGGCGCCGAGCTGCTGGGCGAGGCCACTATCTTCGTGGTGGCCTGCGGCTGCCTGGTGCTGGAGTACTGGCGCCACCAGGCGCAGCAGCGGCGCAAGGAGACGGACCGGCACGCCGCCTGGAGCACGATGCGGGACGAGGTGGACCACCTGGCGCTGGCGCTGGAGGCCCTGCAGGATCGCGTGCAGGCGGCGGCGCTGCAGAGCGCGGTGGACGAGCTGCGGGCGCAGATGCGGGAGGTGCGCGCCCAGCTCTGCGCCCGGGACCCCCCGGCCGCGCCCGAGGCACCGCCCAAGGAATAGGGGCCGCGCGCGGAACCTTGGTCTTCGATGTGGCTGTGGTGTCTCCGACGTGACCTCCTCCTGTCCACACTGTCCCTTCCTGAACCGGCCCAGCTAATACCACCCAGTCCTTTTAGGGGCATAAGGGAGGCTGGAGGGGTGCTGGGGCCACCGGGCTTTTTGGTCACGTCCCGACTAACCTGCTCGGTGGCACCTTCCACAGGGACTTCACCCACTAGTGGGTGGAACGTTCCAGCAGTCCCCCTGCCTTCCCAGTCCACTGATTCAGCACTGTGTCATGGAAAGACATTGTCTTCCATTGGATCCCACCCACCCACTACTAGATGGGCCAGCAGGACACACGGACCTACCTAACTCATTCCGTCACTCACACTTCCACTCATGTGGCTTCCCGCCCCCCATCCATTACACCAGAACACCTTCTCCCCCTTCTTCATTGGCAAAGACCATTGTAAGGAAAATGCAAACTCCCAGGGGACTTGCAGACCCCGTCATTTTCCATCTACCTCACTTGGAGGGGGCAGACAAGGATCGATCTTGGGACTGGCTTACGTTGAGTCCCCCCTGTGGACTGTACCACCATCCATTGGTACCAATGGTCAAGTGGTCATCCCAACAGATTACCCCCCCCCCCCCTTTAGTCTGTGCTGTAACACACGGAGGAGCTGTGCAGGCCCCCCCTCCACCCCCATCCCCACCTCGACCTTCTGTGGTCTGTTCCAACTGGAGTTGGTCCTCCGGGGTAGAAAAATTGGTGGTGCCTAGGGATGAACCATTCTGTGTTTTGGTCTTAGCTTTGTTTACCTGTCTCAAGTTCTGGACCTACTGTTGTCCTTGTCCACTGTCCTCTGCTGGCCCCTCATAGGAATCCCCCACCTGTTCCCTTACCTTGTAGGGCACCTGTCACCCCCCATCTCCCATCCAAACCTGCTCTTGAGTACTCAGGGATTCCTTCTTTCTTCTTGCCTTCAGACCGATCACCCAGCTCACCCTCACCTTCCTACAAAGGTTTCCTCCAGTGGGACAACCTGCCCCACAGCCCTGAAGTTCCCCACCCCCATCCAAATGGAAAATTCCAACCAGGCAAGGTTAGCTACCCCATCTATGACCTGCCAACCCACTGAACCACCAAAGGGGGTGTGTATGAGCTGTCATTTCTGAATTCTGATTTTTTAAAACTGTAAGTTTCACAATTAAAGGCACTCTGGGGTAAAGAAGTCATCTGTAAGAATGTGTCTGAGAAGCATGGCGTACATCTGCAAAATGGGTACAAGGCTCACTGGTTTTAGCAGAGAGGCTGGGAGGATTCCCAGAGGAACTGGGCAGAGTCATACTATAAACTGTTTCCCAGATGAGGAAACTGAGGCCTGGGGGTAGCAAAAGGACTTGCCCAATGCCACACAGTGAGGAACTGTCCTTAGCTTTCTCAGGGTGGTAGATCTGGGAGCTACAGGTACAGGGTGGAAGGAGGAAGAGGAGGGGAAGGTGGATTACTGTGGGAGGGGCAGCCCCCATCCTCATCAGAGCAGCCCTTTGAATCAATCCAGCAATCTTCACATTTATAAAAAACTGGCAGATTTATTCCGTTGGGGTCCATTTTCAAGAAGCTAAAGGTGAAGGTGGGAGAGGAGAAGTTTCCTCCCCTTTTCCTTTCTCCCTCATCTTATTTTCCCCAGGGGAAAATGGCCTGGACCCCAAAACCTACCCAAATAAAAAACCAAAAAACTGAGGTTCCAAAAAGTTATAGCATCTTAATTCCTCATAGAAAAGGGGAAGGAGCCAAAGGGAAGGGAGCTCCCTGGGGTGAGGGTAGAGGAGGTGCCCCCAAGCCTGGTAGGCCACCCCCCCGCCCTTATATAGCTGCACCGAATGAGAAGCCTGGGGTACAGCATTTAAAAATTCCCCACACCCCAATTTTATCAAAACCAAAGAGAAACAAAATTTCCCTTCCCCCTCAACCTAAATATATATATATATATATATATATATACTTTTTTTTCTTAAAAAAACAAAAATTCGAAGGCATTAAGCGTTAAAGTGAATCTAGAACAAGGGAATGTGAAATTCCCTCTTTCCTTCCCCCTTACTGTGGGGTTAATTGGTACATCCCCAGCAGAGGAACCAGCCCCAAGGGGATGGCGGAGGGGAAGGACCAAAGGGAGCAAAGGGCGGGGGCCTCCCCAGCCAATCAGCAGCCAGTATGGGTGTGGGCGTGGGGAACCAAGGAAGCCACACCCCTTTGGAATTTTCCAAGTAGGAGGGGGAGTGGGGAAGATGCGTTCCTGTGTAGTCTTCAGCCAATTCCAAGTCAAGTCGAGGCAGGGAAAGCGGGGTAACAGGCGGGTGTGCAGAAAGGAGATATGGGATCTTCTGGGGCCCTGTGGTCAGGGAGATCCCCGCTTCCTCAGCTCCTGGACAAACGCTGGAAGGAAACAAGGGCCAGAGATCAGGGGCAGAGCCTCTTCCTCCTTCCCTTCCAACACGGGGCCCTTCCAGGAGGCGCAATGCCTCCAAAATATATGCTTAAAATAAAAAAAAACCTCACCTTCAATGATTTCCTCTTTTACTTTCTGTAATTCCTTCCTCACCTCTTCCAGAAGCTCCTGGAAATAATGGGGTACAACCAATCAGAAAGGGCTCCTGGACTGCAGAAATGAAGCTGTCCCATCTTAATGACCGAAGGGCTAGAGGTAGAAGGTTCAAGACCCCCCACACACACACACACCCCAAACACGCACAGTGACATCACTGATAAGGCCACAGAGTAAGGGGGAATTCTAGGGGAAAATTCTGGATCCTTGGAGCCAGATGAAAAGGACTGGAGAGCATCCAGTACCAGGGCTGGGAAATACAATCCAGTCTCCTGCCAGTTCCAGTTGGTGCTGGCTGTCTGGGTCTAGTGTGCTGGAAAGGACTCTGGGTGCTCATCTGGAATGAGTGCAGTGGTAGATTAGTAAGGTCTGTCCCCAGCACAGGATAAGGAGTTGTGGTATGTGTGTCCTCCCCACTCTGATTCAATCTCTCCCTTGCTCAGGCTGGAAAACTGAGGTTTCTGAGGCCTTTTCATAGAATCCCAGGACAGGCTGGTGTTAGAGTTTGGACCCAGATCTCCTTTCTTCCTATGGCTCTTTTCTGGCCCACAAACTTCACCTTGGGGCCCCTCCCCAAGCTACCTGTTTCACTCTCTCCAGGTCTGACTCATCACTGGAGCTGGGTGTAGAGGGATGGGCCTCAGAAGTGGTCACGGAAGAAGAGGACTTCATCCTAGGAGAGTCGGTGTGATTTGGAACAAAAATGAGATTAGAGAGAGGGGTCAGGATCCCTGCTTCCCGGTCTGGGAGTCCCATTGTGCTCCTTCCTACAAGGAGAGGTACACAAATTTGGCAAATCCCTCCTATTTATAGGGGGGTGGGGCCCCAGCATGGATGGCCCACCTCGGTAAGGTTGTGCTGTTCTTCTCCCAAGGTCTCCGCACAGGTTCTGGGGGAAAGGCGACCAATCAGGAAGATCAGGGACAAGGAATGCCCCGCCTGCATCTTTCCCCCCAGCCCCATCAGTCCCTATTCCAAGAACCTTCTTAGGAGACTCGAATTCCCATCATTGTTTGCACAGACTCCCCCCATCAGGGGGCATTCCCTGTGAGAATAGGGCACCCTGAGACTCGTAGTTTCTGCAGGGTAGACTGGCTCACTCACCGCTCTGGGCTGGGACTCTGGCCTCTGGCTCCTCCTGCTGGTGGGAAATAAAACTGTCATGAGACCGAGGGCTCATTCTCCTCCTCCGGCTTCAAACCCCGCCCATTCCTAGCGCACCCCCGGCCCTCCCCAGTCGCCCTGCCCGAATGGTATGGCCTAAGGTGCGGATGGCAGGAAGAGCCCCTAACTCACATTAGCGGATTCATCCTTGGGGGGTTTCTCCCCAACTTGGGTGGCTTTCCTTCTGCAGGAGGGACAGGCAAAAACAGATGACTTCAGCCCTCCCTCAGCCACTCAATAATTCTTACCAGAGTTCTAGAAAGGTGGAGTCTAAGGTGTAGCGTTCTGGAATTCTCCAAGGCTAAGGAAACTGGAGTTTTAGAAGTCACCGAAGAGTGCCGCTCTCCAACTAGGGTGGGGGTTTACGATTCTCGCATTTAGGAATCACAAAATTCTAAGGGTGGAAGCCTCTGTCTCAGGCGGCTGGAATTCTGGGGATCAGAGCTTCCAAGATTCTGAGGCAGGCTCTCCTAAGGGAAGACCTCCTGAGGTCCTAGAATTCTGGGTTTCAGAACATTCTGGAGGCTACCTTGGTGGTTCCAAACCTCAGCCATCTCAGGAGAATGGAATCTCCAGGTGCTAACTGGGGGTCTGAGTGGTTTCTCTCCAGAGCTTTCCAAGGCACTGATGGCTCCAGGGTCAGGCTCACCTCCGGGCCAGCATGGCGTTCATCTCTTCCATGAGCCCCCCCCCTGTGCTCCGAGTGCTCTCTGTTTTGGGGGCTGAGGGCCCCCCTGAGGCCTCCTCCTGCTGGAGAAATTACAAAGAGGAGGGGGCTTTATGGGTGGGCTTCTTGGCCCCCTCCAGCCCTCCTGTGATGCACCCCATCCCCAGCAACTCTGGCCTCATCCCATTATTCCATCAGAGCTGTCACCCCACATCCTGCCCGGCGTGGCCCCCTCACCTTGCTGACTTTCCTGAGTTTGGCTCCAGCGATGGCTGCCGCAAGGCCGGGGGCCCCTGTTCCCCCACCACTGGGGCCTTGTGCTGTGGGGAGAGGGGGTGCAGGAGGCGGGCCTCCCCCTCCTCCATGCCCTGCGGCTGAGACCCCTGAGGGGGCACCAGGGGGTGGAGGGGGACCAGGAGGAGGAGGAGGTCCTGGCGGTGGGGGTGGTCCCCCAGCCGGGGGAGCAGGTGGGCCTCCTGGAAGAAACACAGAAAAGGAGGGTGTTAAGAGAGGAGCCTCACTCCTCATTATCCAGCTGGCGCACCCCTCCTCAGGGAGCCCCCCCACCCAGGGTCCCCATCCCCCCCACCTCCCCCATCCTCCCATACCCCCCAAGGCCACCGACTAATCATCACCTGCATTGGAGACTCGGCGCTCCATGTGCTCTGGCGGGCCCGGCTGCTGCCTGAGAAGGGGTGACGGAACGGCCATCACTCAGGGCCCCAAGGATGGCCAGCAACCTCCCAGCTCCTCTCCCAGGTCTCCAGGGAGGTGGACTGCCAATCCCCGCCCTTGCCTTCCTCCCCCAGGGGCCCAGGAAAGAGATGGGGGGAAGGGCAGGGACAGGGTGGGACCGAGATGTGAGGATTCCAGTCATCAGATTGTCAGGAACATGGAAATTACAAAATGCCCCAGATCTTTTAAACAACCA